TGGAGAAGAGCCTAATCCTGGGAAAGATTGAGGGCCAAAGAAGAAAGGGACGACAGAGAATGAGGTGGCTGGATGGAGTAACCGAAGCAGTAGGCATGAGCTTAAATGGACCCCAGAGGATGGTAGAGGACAGGAAGGCCTGGAGGAACGTTGTCCATGGGGTCACGATGGGTCGGACCCGACTTTGCAACTAATAACAACAACATTATTTTAAAAAAGTAACCCTTAAGGTTAAGGTTGACCCAATCTTTCTTGATGCAGTGCCCTCCAGATCTATGACATGAGTCTTCATAATCTCTAGTTAGTATGCCCTTGATATATTATTGCTCCAATACTTTTTGTAAATAACATTTTGGAATCAGCGATATGATATAATATATGTTCTGCCTTTATAAAAAGACGCCGGTTGTGTATTGATCATCAATTCCCCCCCCCCCCCCCGCTTAATTTTCTAGATTTGGCAAGACTTTATGTTTGCGTGTGCCCTTTATCCAACCAACCAAGACTACTTAGACTCAGTAAGAGCCGAAATTACTCATCAGGTATGGTATTCTTTACATGGGGATGAAGGTTATAACAAACTATCACAAAGTATTAATGTCAGTTGAAGGTTTATCAACAAGTTTATCTTGCTCCAAGTAGGCCAATTCTATTGTTAATCCACTGTTCCCTTCCTTCCCACAATGTATGGAACATGTTAATGGGTGATATGCAAACTTTTTATCTAACATGGTTAACTGTCCACATGGCAAGCTATGAAATGAAATTGAGTAACTGAAAGAGTAGAGTAACATTCTTTAAAACTCATTCACAGAAAGTTATGTCAGAGATAGATAACTCTTGTTCTGTGATTGGATGCAGCCTCTCTCTTCATCCTATGTGTCACATTCTTAAAATCTCCATAAAACTTCCATGGGAAATGGGGAATCCTTCCCAACCTAATTTCCACATGGAGCAAAAAGTATGTTATGGCCTGTTAACCGTTTTTTACTCTTATGATGAATATTCTCCACATGCACAGCATTCTAACAGCTTCCGCTGATGCCAAGGGAAACCTCTTAGTTATGTTATATGGATTTTGGCCAAGGAGGAGGAAAAAGACAAAAGATGTGACGGGAGAGAGAGAGAAAGAGAGATACAGGAGGGGGAGGATTTAATGGATTGGATTATGGAAGGAAAAAAATGGGTGCTTTCTTTCCTTAGAGGAAATACACTTATATGTTAATGTAATTGTAGATTGCCTTTCATATCGAAAAGTGTTGATTGATTAGCTTGTACTGTATGCTTGATCATTTAATAACCTGATTATAAAAACTGAAAGTGGGCCAGTATAATTTTGAGCTGGTAGAACTGGTACTTTCATCATTACCATCTCTGGCCTATAGCTAATTCCATCACTGAATAGTTGCTTGTATTTGTAGAGTTAATTTGCCTTGGTGGAAGAAGATATGACTCGATTATTCCTTTAACAGGCTGTTACTTTGGAACTTTCCATTCTGTTGATAAAAGTTTCACAACATTAAATGCCCTATTTATTTATTTTAATCAGAGATAAGCCTAGCTAGCAGATGCAATAGAAATAACGGCACGATTGGGCAATTCTAATCTGATTATTTTCTTAGTAATTATTTTAATTAAAAAAAACTTAAACAGGATCTGGTGCAAAGGGACTAGATTCTTGTTCCTTGAACTCTTTAGAACAAAAGTCACTTCCAGAATATGAAGAATAGGTTCCTTTACATTTCCAGATACATTAGGACACTTGATAAAATTACAGTCCATTCAGAAAGTATTCGGACCCCTTTCACTTTTGTCCATTTTGTTATGTTGTAGCCTGATTCTACTGTTGTTGAAATCGATCCCCCCCCATTAATCTACATTCAGTAGTACCCCCTAATGACAAAGTGAAAACAGAATTTTAGAAATGTCTGTAAAGTTATTAAAAAGAAAAAAAAACACTAAAATATCACATTGGCATAAGAAGACTCTATAGAATTAGGCTGCAGCGTAACAAAATTGACAAAAGTGAAGGGGGTCTGAACGCTTTCTGAATACACTGTATGTCAGCCGCCCCCCCCATTTGTGTCCTTTGATTTTTAAGGTAGCCTTGGTCATGCTTGCTTTGATTTCTGTGTTGAAAGAAATGTCCATCTGGGTTCAGTTCCAAGTGGGGAGAAGGACACTGGAAACATGGAGGCTGGTTGGAAAGATGGCTTTTTTGATGGACAGGACCACATAGGTTTTAGGTCCTGGGCAGCTGGAGGAGAGAGAGAGAGGTATTTATACCCTCTCTTGGGCCTTGCCCTTGAGCTTCCTGTTCCTGTGCAAGAAGTGTATTCTATTGGTTGTAGTCAGATTCCCATGAGGAGTCATGTTTGTCTGAGTCAAGTTTGGTGAAACCTTGGGCTGATGTAATGTCCCCAGGTGATTTCACAATGCAGTGAGCCCTGCTGTTAGATGGGTAGACGGCTAATCCTATTATGTCCTGAGTGGTCATGTCTTAATCCCATCACCCTGGAGTTGGAGGACTTTTGTCTTCTGGATAAAATGTGCACCAAATATCTGCTGGGGGCAGGGAGCTGCAGGGAACTGCTTTGTCTTTAAAAACATGTTTCTGCTTTTCTTATCCAGGGAAATATAATATTCTGCCTTTTTAATATTTCCTAGAATATTTCATTCTTCTAGGAGAGGTGTAGATGCTAACTTTCTACAACTGGAAGTTGTAATCTTAGTGCATCTGAAAGAAGCCAGTCTTCAAAGTATTACTTTTGTTTGGTTTGACTTTAGGCTTTTTCATACAAATACTTCTGATATAAATAATTTGCAATTTTCTACAAATACTTGAAAGAAGTTCTATTCTTTCCAGGTAAAGCGACTGAAATATCACCCGTCCATCATTTTATGGAGCGGGAACAATGAAAATGAAGTTGCACTTTCCACCAATTGGTTCTCCATTCCAAAGGCACAGATGAATCTTTATTTCAAAGATTATGTGACACTTTATGTTGATAATATCCGAGAAATTGTTTTTGCTGTAAGTACCAACTTTTTTTCCCCTCTTATGAGATCTAAAAAGGGCCGGCATTTTAGTTGGTTTTGTGTTCTGATAAATGATGACTTTCCTTCAGATTTTGGAAATGAGTAGATTGTTTTAAATAATTTTGCAAACATTAAAGATGCACTAGATGAAATCTGGAAACATCTGTTTCCTTTGAGTCCTGATGTTCTCAAAATGCGCTGACAACCTTTTGTGTTCTGCTTTCCCCTTACAATTTGTGTTGGCTTTGTAAGATATGTATTAAAATGATTTCTTCTGTTGATTGCCTATTGTAGAAGGTTAGAAGAGTTTTGCTCAGTGGGGGAAAAAGACCAATGTCCCAATTTCAATATTGGTGTTTGCCTTGATAAATGTTTTAAAAGGGTTCATGCATTTTTTTCTCAAAATTAGGAAACACAACACATACCTTTTACCCTGCGTTTAGCTAATGTACCTCATCTTTCTCAGGGACTCTCTAACTCCTGCGTCACAGAGATGCATACTTCCTTTTTTCATTTTGCAACTGTCGTCTGTTCGTATTGGAACACGGTTAACTTACTAATTATGACACTACATTAATAGTAATAGTTTTTCTTCAGACATTTCGTAAAAAACAGATAGGAGATGAAATCATTCTGTAAAGAGGAAGTTTACCATCTGTCTTAAAAATGGTGATGATTATTTGGCCTAGTTTAGCCTCCTAGATTCTGTTGGAACACCTTTGTGTTTTTAGGAATCTTGTATGACTTCTCTAATAAACCTAATGATATGCTTCTGGTTTGGAAGGAGTAGGCTGTTTTTATCACCCTTGTTATGCATAAGCTTGATGACCTTATTGCATTGCTCACAACAATACATGACCATGAATCCTTAGTTTTGAACACACTTAGTTTTCCCCCCTTCTATATCAGGCTGGTCCAGGCCCGTCTACCTCCTAATTCAATTCCTGCCCAGCTGCCATGTTGTTTGGATTACCAGATGTCTTATCTCTCACCTTTTCTTCCTCTCTTCCTTGTATTTTCTTTTTCCCCTCTCCTCCTCTTTTCTGAAATCTTAAGCAGGGAACAAATCCTGGAAAATCACCATCCCTGCCAATGGCCATTTCATATTGGAATGTCAGAGATCTGGTTACAAGCTGTGCAAGCCAGTTCTACATGTGTGCAGGGATTGTTTTGAATTTTTCTGAATTCTGACTAAAAAAATCCCAGGAAGCTGTTTATGATACATTATAGGATGCAAATGGGGGACACAGTGGCTAGTGCCATGTAACAGAGTGAGCTCCTGTTATTTGTCCCAGCTTCTGCCAACCTAGTAGTTTGAAAGCATGTAAAAAATGTAAGTAGAAAAATAGGGACCACTTTTGGTGGGAAGGTAACAGCATTCTGTACGCCTTCGGCGTTTAGTCATGCCGGCCACATGACCACGGAGATGTCTTTGGACAGCGCTGGCTCTTCGGCTTTGAAACGGAGATGAGCACCACCCCATAGAGTGAGGAACGACTAGCACATATGTGTGAGAGGAACCTTTTCCTTTTCCTTTAGGATGCAAATATTTGGGCTCATCCCCCCCCCCAAAAAGCATTTGTGCTTCTGAAAGCATTCTGTTGTTGAATAGATGAATAACGGCAATCCTAATCTGGCTAGAATAGGACCGAAAGAGGTCATATTATTTTTTATTCCAGCTACAAAGGCATTTTGGGACTGGAAAGAAAGATCTTCCCTGTATTGCCCCCATTGAAGGCTGTGTCTGGTGAAAGAAATAATTAACCGTAGGAAAAGAAGTATAAACATTACTACTGGTTTCCTCTCTTGAAAGATTGTTCAACAGATGTTGCAATTTAATGTCATTCTCCAGTGCACTGCTCAGAGAGTCCAAATGCTGGGTTAACACAGCCTATCTGCCCTTGGACTGAGTGATGTTTTTGTTGACCACGCCTCCCTTTGCCTGCACATGCTCAGTTCGAAAACTCAGTCCGCCCGAGCTAGGACTGTTTTGGGAGAGCTCCAGTCTAAGAGCAGAAAGGCTGGAAAAAGTTTCCCAATTTNCCAGAATTCCCCAGCCAGCATTCGCTGGCTGGGGAATTCTGGGAGTTGAAGTCCAGACATCTTCAAGTTGCCAAGGTTGAAAAACACTGCTCTATGCGTTAAATGAAGTTCTGTTCAGGTTTTCATCATAACATATTTCTTTCTTTGCCTGCGGTGGGTTTATAAAGAGTGTGCCAGTGGAACTTTGGTGGCCATCCGGACATGGAAATCAGCCTGGATACAACATGACAGCAATGTTCGTAATGCAGGAAGAATACAAGATCATAAAACATTGGAAGGTATGTGAGATCTTCTTCTTAGCAATACATATGACATACAATTGTCTCTTTCATAGCCTTTGTGACTTGACTCATAGATTGCACTATATTAATAATCAAAGAATTACTACATCTTGCAAGATTTTGGCACGTATAATGTTGAAGTGGATGAGTAGAGTCTGAACTGTACCCCCACCCCACCCTTTCTCAATGATACACACATTAACATATTGTCCAGTGTTACTTAAATATTTGTGTCTATTTTAATATTTTCATTTTGCAGCCTGTGTTAAGGATAAGGTTGTGAATTGAAGGCTACATTTGATCTTAGATTCCCCATATGTCTATCAATATCAGCAGAGTCCTTGAAAGGAAGGGAAAGCAAATGGATTTCTTCTTCCTGGTGCAAGATCTGACATTTTGGGGGGTTCTGGAAATTCATCACTTTGCTTCTTGCAGAACGTTTGATGAGGCCAATAACTTGGTCAGTGAAAAAATCATGCAGGTCTCTTGAATGCCTCTGTGGGGCATAAAGAAATGGTGGAAGGCTGCTTATAACAGAAAAGCAGAGTTAGAAGGAACCTTGGAGGTCTTCTAGTCCAACCCCCTGCTCAGGCAGGAAACCTTATTATCCTTCAGGAAAATGGTTGTCCAATCTCTTCTTTAAAACATCCTGTGTTGGAGCATTCACAACTTCTGTAGACAAATTGTTCTACTGATTAATTGTTCTAACTGTCAGGAAATTCCTCCTTAGTTCTAGGTTGCTTCTCTCCTTTATTAGTTTCCACCCGTTGCTTCTTGACTCCCTCTTCTTTGTGGCAGCCCTTGAGATGTTGGAACACTGCTATCATGTCACCCTCAATTCTTCTTTTCATTAAACTAAACACCAGGTTACCCACTAAGAATGTGGTCTTTGAAAACATTGCATGCAACTACTGGAATATCTCTAGAAATGGTCTCATGATATTAATTTTTACATTTAATGTTCTTTGGTGTTATTTATTGCCAGTTTGTGCAATAATATTACTGGAAAAGCAAGGACAGGTGATTAAAAATGTTATAAAATGATTGTTTCACTATTGCTGTTCTGATTGGCAGCATCTTGTCATCATGGAGTGATTTATTTCTACAATAGAGAAGTAATACTTTTGTTACTATGTGTGTGTTTGGGCCTTTATTCTTGAATGGTTAGACTTTGGGGATGGGTCGTAGCTGTAGGGAACAGTCTCCCCCAAATTAACTTTCCTTTTCAAGCCATTGCCCTCCTGATACATTGGACATTCATTCTCATCACATACAGCCAATGGCTATGCCGGCTGGGTATTATGGGAATGGTAGATCAGCCCACCTGGAAGGAAAAGGCTCTTGCAGAAGGCTTTAATTCAGAAACTCACTGTATAGGGCTTCGAGGGGAGGAGCTGCCGCCGTCGGGAGCTTAATAAAGCTCCTGCCAGGACTCTGGTTCGTATATCTTATNTTTTGCAACTTTTAGCAAAATTTGTGTACCGAACTGATTATATGATACTGGACTATGTTATTTTGATTATCCCTTAACTGAAAGACATTGATGACTGACTGTCTTATCCATGTATGACTTGAACTGTTTGATGGACTCTGATACCTCTATTTCCACGAAAGTAAAAGCCTATTTAAACTGCAGTGACTCTGTATGCTGGTTTGTGTGTTCTCCAACACAACTCTCACACCGCTTCGCTGAACGTACTCTCTCTCCCAACGGGGAGCTTACCTAGCACTAACCTATGGCACACATGCCAGAAGTGCCATGCAGAGCCATCTCTCTGGGCACGCCAGCTGTCGCCCATTACTCTTCTGGGTTCCAGCCAGCTGGTCTTCACGCACACATCTGCGCCAGAAAGCGGAAGACCAGGTGACCACTGGGCACGCACAAGCCAGAAACCAGAAGCTGAGCTTCCCGCCACACACATGCATGCTGGGGAACTGCTCTTCCAGTTTATGGCATTCATGCTTGTGCGCACCAGGAACCTGTTCTTCCAGTTTCTGGTGCTCTCCCCCTCCCCATGTGTGTGTTCTTGTTTCGGCACTCGGTGCTGAAAAGGGACGCCAACACTGCCCTAAACGAACATGCCGAGTCTGATCAAGCACTGCAACGGATTCATACTCTTCCCCAATCTCTTTTTGCAGATTTATGAACTGGAGCAGATGTTTGTCAGCAACGTGGAGAAACAGAAGATATTGCTGACGATCGATCCCCTTGCCTGGACGGAGACCTTTCAGACCGGGAAGGGCCGCGAGGAAGTTCTTGAAATACACGATTTTAAGAATGTATGTATGTCCATTTTCAGGACAAAGTCAGGTCAACCCTAGTCCACATCTCGGCTACGGCCTGAATAATCCCCCTTTGTTTAAAGGCCAAAATGGAAGGCGCCGATTTTCTGCACAGAATAAAGCAAATTGGCCGAGGTTTTTTTTGTGTTGTGCGCTAAGCCAATAAACTACATTACGGCTTACTTCAGTCGGTGGACTCAGCAGGTCGGAGTGAAACTGGAATCTCTTGATTCACAGCGGAGTCTCTTAGCTAACAGGCAATGCCAGTTTGTTTTAAGAAAAACAAGGAAGTCAGCAGGAAGGGGGAAATATTCATTATAACACGAGGCATTCAAGCAAAAACCCCACGGTGAACCTTCTGAATCCGAGGTGCTTCTTTATTTATTTTATGTTCCAGCAGCAAATCAGAGGCATATAGAAGTATTTATAGGCAGCCAGGAAGGTTTACTCCGCTGTGCCCCACTTTTAATGCAACCAAAAATGGATAGATGGTATATATCCTGAATTAGAATAACCGTGGGCTTGCAGATATGTAGCTCTGTTGCGTTTGTTTCCTCTGCCACCTTCACCTGGTTATATTTTTGTGCTTTTCTTGCAGGGAATAACTGGTCTCTTTTTCATGGGCGATCCCAAATGCTTTCTCCAAAATCAGATTAAAGGGATACCAGAAGCATCGCAGATGGAGACGGAGGCGCCGGAGGTATGCAGAAGGAAAGAATGTGCTGAATTAAATAAAGGCTCGCTGGCCGGCAAGCAGATTTATAGCAGCTTGGAAAGGACGGCGGAGAGTAATCCCCATTGGTTTTTAAATCACTCACAGGCCAGAGAGAGAGAGAGAGAGAGAGACTGAGATTCAACATATGCTAAATGGAGTCTTCCCTAAAACAAGGAAGAGGGAATCAACCGTAAGGCCAAACGCAGCCCAGCTGAGACGAGAGTAGCAAAGAAAGAATAAGTGAAATATCATCCACATGACTATGATCTGTTTTCAATGTGTTTCGATCCCTTTAATTGGACTTACAGCCTTCCCATTTTTCCAAGCATCCCAGGCTTTTTCAGGGATACTTGGCTTCAAGCTCGGTCAAAACGTCTAAGCAGACAAGAGAATATTTATAGCTCAGGGTTGAAATGAGGAGTCTTTGGTGGTCTTTGAGCTTGGTTGATTTCTGGAGAAATTTCTTCTCCTCCCCCTCCTCCTCCTCTTCCTCCTACCCCTACCCAACCCTCTCCTTCTCCTTCCCTTCATACGTTATCACTCATGGCTTGTAGGTACATTGAGAGCTTATGCACCAGAGACAAATTCTTTGTGTGTCTAATCACACTTGGCCAATAATGAATTCTATTCTTCTGATATTTCACTTTACAAAGCTATAAGTAAACAGTTGGTTCCCAAGCCCCTCTTCTATGTAGTAAAAGCAGACCAGTCTTTAGAAGAAATGAAAGAACTCTTCGATTAATTTTACAGAACAGTTAGATGATGGCACTTTGTGAGTTTTCAAAATCAGACTGAAGGGTGAGGGAAAAAGAACTTCAAACGAGCCTCCAAAACAACTCCAAATGTGGGTTTCATTAGCCAATGGGATAACATCATCAGTGCTAGTCCAGATAATTCTCATCGTAAGTTTGGAAGGGACCCTGGAGGTCTTCCAGCCCAACCCACAGGTGTTCTTCTAAATCTGTAGTAGGGATTATCCTTCAAATGAACACAGCGACTTCTGAGAAGTAATTTTTGTTCAAACCGTGAGACAGGCGAGGGTGTAAATGTGTCCTATCACTAACTCCTTACCTTCGGTTTCTGAGCTTGATTGATTTCTGGAGACGTTTCATTACCCAACTAGGTAACATCATCAGTGCTAGTAGAGTAGGGTTTGCTCTCATATTCTAGTGGCTTGCCCTGTCAGTGTTGGTGGGAGTATTGGATATAACACCAAGATTAACATTAGAAATAGCACTTAGACGTACCGGTATATACCGCTTCACAGTGCTTTACAGCCCCTCTCTAAGCGGTTTACAGTCAGCCTCTTACCCCAAAAATCTGGGTCCTCATTTTACCCACCTCAGAAGGATGGGAGGCTGAGTCAACCTTGAGCCTGGTGAGATTCGAACTGCTGAATTGCAAGCAGCCAGCAGGCAGCAGAATTAGCTGCAGTACTGCATTCTAACCACTGCGCCACCATGGCTCTCACAATTAGGCTAACAATCAAGAAGTTAAAAAATACCCCAATCAAGGAATTTCCAAACAAGCTTACAGTAAAGAAGCCCACTAAAAAAAACAACCTTCAAGACCACTCCCACCAACACTGACAGGGCAAGCCACTTGAATATAACATAAAAACCAACCCTACTCCCCGCTAGCATTGATGGTGTTATCTAATTTGGTAATGAAACGTCTGCAAGGAAGCCAACAAGCTCAGAGAGCACCAAAAAAACATCAAAGCATGAGCCATGGTGGCGCAGTGGTTAGAGGGTAGTAGTGCGGGCTACTTCTGCTGACTGCCAGGCTGCCTGCAATTTGGCAGTTCGAATCTCACCAGGCTGAAGGCTGACTCAGCCTTCCATCCTTCCGAGGTGGGTAAAATGAGGACCCAGATTGTTTGAGGGCAAGAGGCTGACTCTGCAAACTGCTTAGAGAGGGCTGTAAAGCACTGGAAAGAGATATATGTCTTAGTGGTATTGCTATTGCTATTGCCCTTCCTTCCTCCCTCCCTCCCTCCCTCCCAGTTAGAATGCAGTATTGCAGGCTAACTCTGCCCACTGCCAGCAGTTCAATCCTGAGGCTGAAGTTGACTCAGCCTTCCATCCTTCTGAGGTGGGTAAAACNAGCCTGATGCTGGGAAAGATTGAGGGCAAAAGAAGAAGGAGACGACAGAGAATGAGGTGACTGGATGGAGTCACTGAAGCAGTCGGCGAGAGCTTGAATGGACCCCAGAGGATGGTAGAGGACAGGAAGGCCTGGAGGAACATTGCCCATGGGATTGTGATGGATCGGACACAACTTTGCAACTAACAACAACAAATCATTGCAAATGTGGGCACTGCTTTCAATCAAAGATGGGAGACTCTTGGCTCTACAGATATTGTCGGACGCTAGTTCCAATCACCAGCCAGCTCTCCGGGATAATGGGTGTTGTGGTGCAACAACCAGCACGGCCAGCTTCTTCCCCCTGCTTTAAATCATCCCAGTGGAACAAACAGTCGGCATAAGGAAACTACTGTTTGCCCAGACATTCTGTAACACTTTCCAGGAAAAACACATTGCATGAAAATCTAGTTTCAAATGTCATTTTAGCAAACAACAAATTAAGGACAGCAGAGCAATTAGAAAGGGGAGGGGGAATCACTTTCGTCCCGGTCCCAAAAAGTAAATAGGGAGGGAAGGAGAGGAGCTTCATACTTTCATTCTGGAGAATGGTGTACTTAAGACCAAAATGCTGAAGTTAAGTGCAGGAGGAAGATATCCACCATTAACCCAGCTTCTCTGCCTTTCCTTTCAGGCTTCTTCCATTTGCTTTAATTGCCCTGTGACATCTGTAAGATGATAAGCATCAAGGGTTTGCATATGGAGGCACTGATTCCCATCGCTCCAAAATTCAGACTTGGCTCACGTGAGTCACAACAAAATGCTCTTTTTCTTACAAAAAAAGATGCAGAGACTTTGGGGAAAAGTGCAAAGAAGAGCAACGAAGATGATGAAGGGCCTGGAGACTAAAACATACCGTGGGAAGTTATCACCCAGCCCTCTCCCAGAAAAATGAAACATCCTAGGAAATATTGAAAAGGCAGAATATTTCTCTGGATGTGAAAAAGNGTCCTAAATATTCCTTCGAAAGACTGTTTGCCAGGCCTTTGCTGAATGTGAACGAGAGGAATTCATATCCATTTAATAAAAGGGGTTTTGTCGGGACCAGGACTCTGCCGCGTGCTTTTTGAGGAAAGCCAAGATCAGAACATTTCTGTTTGGTGGCTAATGGATCAAGAAAGCTCGCCTTCCTCTTTTGTGAGTGTGGCATACGTCCATTTTTAGTCCAGGAAAAAAGAATGGTACTCCAGAAAAAAATAAATAACAACATGGAGAGGACAGATCTGGATTGAAATGCTGCACCATTTCATACTATATATGGCATGAGAATATGTCCTGTCTTGCAGGCAGAGGAAATAGCCGTCACCTATTTTGAGCAATCGGTGCTCTGGGTTCCAGGAGAGAAACCAATCGAAAATAAAGATTTCCTGAAGGAATCCAAGATGTTTGACCTCTGCAAAAACGTTAGTGCGTATTGGATCCATCCTACCCCACTAAGAGGTAAGGCCGTCTTCTCTCAACATTATACTGCCAGAAATTTATCACAAATGGCATTTTCTGACCCTTTCTTTGCATCTAGCATGGGTGCCCCATTATTTCATATCTTAGAATAACAGAGTTGGTGGGGACCTTGGAGATCTTCTAGTCCAACCCCCTGCCTAGGCAGGAAACCCTACACCACTTCAGAGAAATGGTTGTCCAATCTCTTCTTAAAAACTTCCAGTGTTGGAGCATTTATAACTTCTGGAGGCAAGTTGTCCCACTGGTGAATTGATCTAACAGTCAGGAAATTCCTTAGTTCTGGGTTGCTTCTCTCCCTAATTAGTTTCCACCCATTGCTTATCGTCTTACCAGAGGTGGTATTCAGCAGGTTCTGACCAGTTCTGGAGAACCAGTAGCGGAAATTTTGAGTAGTTCAGAGAACTGGTAAATACCATCTCTGACTGGCCCTGTCCCCATCTATTCTCTGCCTCCCAAGTCCCAGCTGATCAGGAGGAAATGGGGATTTTGCGGTAATCTTCCCCTGCCACAACCACCAAGTCATGCCCGCCAAGCCAAGCCAAGCCATGCCCACAGAACTGGTAGTAAAAAATTTGAATCCCACCACTCTTACCCTCAGAAATGGACTGTAGGGCGCATTATGTGCTCTCTGAGTTTGCTTGTTTTCTTGCAGATATTTTATTCCACAACAGTGGTGGGATTCAGCCAGTTCGCACCTATTCGGGAGAACCAGTTGTTAAACTTTCTAAGCAGTCCAGAGAACCGGTTGTTGGAAGAAATCTCATTTTATTTTTTTTCCCACTTTACAGGGCTAATCCTGTAAGGAAGGCAGGAAGGAAACTTCCTGGTGTTGTTTCTAGCCTAACCTTTATTGCCCTGCTTACAGAAACTATTTCTCTGGTTAACCTTTATTACATTATAGCAGCTAAGGCAAAGCGCCCATCGACATGAGTGACATTGATTTCGCCATGCCCACCCAGTCTCATGATCACCGAGCCCCGCCTACCCAGCTGGTCATTAGGGCAGAGAACCGGTTGTTAAATAATTTGAATCCCACCACTCTTACCCTCAGAAATGGACTGTAGGGCGCATTATGTGCTCTCTGAGTTTGCTTGTTTTCTTGCAGATATTTCATT